ACTATCTTGATCTGGCAACGCCAATCAATTTTCGCAGGCTTCATTTTCGTCGTCAGAGTACCGGAAAAAACGACGTGTCTAAAAGTTCTCCTTCTTCTTTTTTCGACACCGTTTTTTTTATATGGAGTTTGGCCGCTGCACAGTAGCGCCTTTTCTCATTTAACGTTGCAAAAATCATAACTTTTGAACAAAACAAGATAACTAAATAATTTAAACGCCATTTGACAGGTAATTGTTGTAAAATTAACATTCGTATTGGAAAATCTGCCACGCCCACTCATTCGCCTTTTTAAAGGGTATCAAAGTAAAGAAATATTTTTTTTCAAGGAAGACAATTTTTTAAAAATATTTTTTATTTAATTTTTTATCTTTATTTTAATGTATTTGCTTAAATAAAAATAATTTGAAAACTGAAAAAAAATTTTTTTTTTGTTCTAAGTTTAACCGCCACAGAACCGTGAGCGCTACAGTTAGTATTTTTTATTGGTTTGTATGAAATTGTGTCGGTATTTTGGTATATTTTACCCTGAGTTGTTTCAGGGTTTTGCTTCGCAATGCCAGAGTCGCAGCTGGACGCAGACTTTCTAAACGGATTCTGATTCAGGAAAGACACACGCAGTGCGTAGTCATAGTGTAGTCGCCGGCTCTGGGCAGCTTCAGAAGTTATAGACTACTTTAGCCAGAAAAAGGTAAAAAAAAATGAACACCTGGCAGGTAGCGATTTACCTGTACAAGCCCACGCAAAACTACCTTTTTTTTAATTTGAATAAGAGGTAATGACTATACCTGTCTTTTAAAAGAAAAATCAAGACCATTGGTTATGTAGTTTTTGTGTAATATTACCTGAAAGTCGACTAATTTACCAATTTTTTGTTGTATGACGCATACACGGAAAACAATTTCGACTTTGAATGCTCATATCTTCCTAAAAAAAAATCTGAAAATCTTTTGGTTAAAGATTCGGAATCCTTGGGAAATTCTCTGTCGATTTCTTATGGTTTAAATCGATTTTGCGATTATGACTTTTTCGATTTTTGCAACGGCTCACAGTAGCGCCTCTCGAACAATTAGCGTTGCAAAAATCAAAAAAGTCATGTTCGCAAAAACGATTTTAACCATACTTATTCGACAGGAAATTTAACAAGGATTCAGAATCTGCAATAAAATCAATTTTAAGATTTTTTTTGAAGAAGTTATGAGCATTTAAAGTTGAACTTTGTTTCGTTTTTTGCATCATACAAAAAAAAAATTTGTAAATTGGTCGACTTTCAGGTAATATTACAAAAAAACCATAAAACCAATGGTCATGGTTTTTACTTTAAATGATAGATACATTCATAAACTATTAAAGAACCTAAAAAAACGACACTTTGATTTGGGCTTCTACAGGTAAATCGCTACCTGCCAGGTGTCCATTTTTTTCACCTTTTTCTGCCTAAAGTAGTCTATATCTTCTGACGCCAATGAAAGCCACCGACTACACTATGTCTACAAGTTACGTGGATCTTTCCTGGACCAGAATTAACTTTCATCGGCTGCGTCGAGCTGCGTCTGCGGAAATGCAACGCAAAAAACCAAAATACCGACACAATTTCATACATTTCAAGAAATATACTAACTGTAGCGCGTGGCGGTTACACTTCGAATTAAAAAAATTTTTTTTTCAGTTTTCAAATTATTTTTATTTGAGCAAATACATAAAAATTAACATAAAAAATTAAATAAAAATTTTTTTTAAAAATTGTTTTCATTGAAAAAAAATTATTTTTTCACTTTGATACCCTTTAAAAAGGCGTATTTGTTGGCGTGGTACTTTATGCAGTACATATATATATTTTACAACAATTACCTGTCCAATGCTATGATACACTAATGCAGTTTTCATTAATTAGCTACTTCATTAGAACCTTGAAAGAGACCACTATATGTATGTGTAATTTTGTGTAATTTGGCTTGAATTTTGCTTGGATTATTTTGGTAATACGACTACGGTCACACCGACCGTAAAAGGTAAACAAAAAAAACGGCCGCCATTCGCGGCGATTATTATGAATTTCTGAATTCCTCGTCGAAGTATTATTGCATAAATAAATGCAGAATCCTTTAAATTTATGTTTTTAACCTATAATGCTTAAAATTTTTTTAATTATTACACAAAAAAATAATTTTAATTAATTTTACTGCGCAAGAAACTTGCTACCGCAAAACATATTAATTTTGCTAATTTTCTAATATATTTTCAGTTCAAAAAACAAGCGAAATGATATAAAAATAAAATTCTCATTGTGAGACCATACTGTCAATGAGCTGGCTAATACATTTCTCAATTACAATTTTCTTCATTAAACCCGTATTTTGTTATCGAGTATCTAGTATATAATATGTAGATCTATCGATTATCGCGGCAATGAAGTAGCTAATGCATTATTCTAATGCATTAGAGCGCCATATAGTCGTCTTGCTCGCACTTGTGTAAAACGCTATAGCGCTGTCAAATCTTTAATGAAGTCTCTAATTAATGCGGCTGTGTCATATCAGCATAAATGAGAAAAGGCGCTACTGTTCGGCTTTTGTTCGAGAGGCGCTACTGTGCGCTGTCTAAATTTATACAGCGGATTTTTCTCGTCAGAGTACTAGGCTTTAGCGTCGGAATGGAACACAGAGGTTTTTTTTTACATTTATTTCGGTAATAAGACACTAATTTAAACAAAATAAATTTTATAAATGCTAAAAATTACTTTACTAATGCTTTTTACTGGGTTTGAGGGGATTCGACTTTTGCGTCTATTAAAAAAAACCTTTGAAAAATCGTGCTGTCGCATTTTTGTTTATATCTTGTCTCAACGAATTTGTGCAGATATCCCCGGGTTGCAGGGATAAAGGACATTAATTGCAGTTTTACCCTGCAAATTTTAATTAAATTCTATCCCACAGTTTTTAAGAAAATTTCATAACAGTAAACTAACCTTGAGTTCTGCTTCATACAAAATAGGACAGAAAAAATTGTAAGTCCTATAACTCCAGTTAACGAATTTGTGCTAACATGCGCGGTATACTGACTTACTAAGGGAAGTTTCAAGAATATTTGGTAAAATTTTCATAAGTTTCTATCCGCCAGTTTTTGAGAAATTCGGATAGCAGTGGGTGGTGCAGGTGGGCTGATAACAGAGGCGCGAACTTTAAAAATGGAACCAGCTGAGAACCTGCAAAGAACCAGTTGCCGAACCAGACAACGGAACCATGTTAAGGAAATACTAGATATAAAAACATTAGCAATTTATGGAACTTAAGCCTAGTACTCTGACGAGAAAAACCCGCTGTCTAAATTAGACAGCGGAATCGCTGTTTATTTCGCTACCGAGCTAGTGTGACCAAAAAAATTAAGGAAATTCCATGAAAATGTACTTTTTATGGCGTTTAAGGATTTTCCTTGGTCACACTGGACAGCTGTTTGTAAACAAATATTCAAAAAAAAGATTAAAAATATTAATAAATATGGCATTAAAATGTCCTTTGTGGGTTAAATTCCATATTATGGGCTTCCCCTTGACAGCCCCTATCAATGCCACCTTTTTCCTTCAACTTTCCCTCCATTAGGGGTGTCTAAATAAATCAAATGAATTATTTAGACAGCGCGATATCAGCTGTTTACTATCTTGATCTGGCAACGCCTTTCAATTTTCGCAGGCTTCATTTTCGTCGTCAGAGTACCGAAAAAAACGACGTGTCTAAAAGTTCTTCTTCTTTTTTTCGACACCGTTTTTTTTATATGGAGTTTGGCCGCTGTCTAAATTTATACAGCGGTTTTTTCTCGTCAGAGTACTAGGCTTTAATATTAATTAAACTAAACTATAAACGGCATCGCCATTCTAAGCAATTTGGTAGGTGTTTCAGCAAAATCCGATCAGTCCTCCGGGAGAAATGAGTAATTCCACACATTTTTATTTATTGTTGTAATTACCTCGATGGTATTACTATGCAACTCTGGTAACAAACACCATGTAATTTCGACGCTAACTTTTAACAAATTTTTTGCAATGCTCAACGAATTTGTGCCAATGCACGATATATCCATCGAAGGGGAAATTATGCTCTAATTTTGACTTAAATTTTATTGAATTTTAACCGACAGATTTTGAGAAAATCAAGTGTTTCCGATGTTCAGAAACCCATTAATAAACACTGGCTCATATTGACCCTAATAATGTCTTCCCACTCAGTGCATATGTGTGGAACAGTTGGGATTTTTCACAAATGCGAAACTCGTTTTCCCACAGAGCTGCGTTAAAGTGCATCCGCATCCAATTACAGCTGATCGATCAGCTGTGGCTCATGAAAACGAAAAGCAAAAATGGCTGAAGCGGCCGATGTGTGAGTAAAATGCGTAAAAACAGATAGACGGATGGACACCCGGACTTGGCTAGATCGACTCGGCTGTTGATGCTGGTCAAGAAAATTTTTCCTTCACTGCGTTTAAGACTTCCGACTAAAATAATAATACCCTGTAAGGGTATAATAAAAGTTTAAAAGTAATTTTAGGAATGATATCCTTTTTAGTACGCTGACAACCTTTATATGGGTCCCTTTCAGTTCCGATTTTTCCATTTGGAAACTAGAAAACAGGCGGCGGAATGCAAAATGTCAAAAATTAGAATCGAACCGAATTTAAGGTGCAACCACAAAATATTATATTTATTTAAAAATCAAGTAATATACCTTTCGTTAAATCAGTTATGCAATACTCTCCCTAAACTTCAGGTAAAGATATACAATGATTTACGTAATATAATCGCATTGTATTTTAAAATAATGAATTTCTAGATTTGCTGATCTGAATCCGCCAGCCAAATCGCAAGCGGAGAGTTTTCGTAAGGTTTGTCCCGGAAGTTAACCGCGACTTAAAGAGTCCGGGGAGATTTTTGGAAGTGAAAACTAGAACAGGTCTGGGAAATCCGAATCAGTGCAATATACCCAATTTCAAAACCCTTAAGACTATTTTACAGGGTTCTTTATGCATTTATTTAAATATTAAATCAGTCAATAACTTAAAATATGGTTAACATATATTATAAGACAAATGGTGGGTTTCAAACAAAAGCTAAGAAGTGTTAAATCGCCCAGACCACTTGAGCAAAAAATATCAGTCTAATAGCGCTCTGCTTCGGCACCCGGCGTCGGCGAAAAAATACGAGTCTACTTATCGCTACTTTAACCCATTCAGTCTATAAAATGTGTGTGAGTACAATTGTAAGCCTCGTGCGACTTCTCATTGGTGTAATAGTTGGGATGTGTCTTCAAAAACTTCGCTTTGCTGCCTAATCGAGCTCATCTTCTTTATATTGAGGTTGCCCTTCTATTCCCTTTATAAAAAGTTCAGCCTCCGGTATCGCCTCGATAGATTCCTCCTTAAAAGATGTTTGGCTGACAGCCGTCCTGGAGGCAACGGCTGCGAGTTGATCATCCGTGGAATACTCGCTCGCCTGCGACAATGAGAATCTTGCCGAACGGTTAACGGGAGCTGAAGCACTGTAATATCATAAGTAAGAACCTTGTTCAAGTCAAAAATATATGTGAGGCTTACTTGAGGGAGTACGTAGAATGATACATCGGAGGTGGAGTATTTATTCCTACATAGGCTGCTGTTGCCGTCGATGAACACGGAGTGTGGTGGTAGAAGAAAGCGTATTCGTTGATCGAGGTCAGATAGGATGGCGGTGGCGGGCGATGGTGGAATTCTGGATATATGTAACTGCCAGATAATACCCGATTGTTGCATTGCGGACTATTGCAATTGCGGCAGCTTTCCATACGTCTGAAGCAGGTACACTCATCGTCGTCTGGCAAACTGAGTCGCCAAATAGCTCCGGAGATTACCAATAATGAAACACCAATTCCAATCATCAAGAGAGCCGCACTTAAATATTGAGTTGAGTGCTCTATAAGACCCGTGCTGCCTAACACAATACCTCCAAGGGTGCATGCTACCCCGCCAAGAGCGAAAATGCCGATTACGAAAGGCAGCGATGGGCGAGAGAACCACTTTCGTAAGCTGCAGCCTACATTTACATTTGATCTGGACCTCGATACTACAGGTAAATTATTGCAGGCTAAAGGAATTATTTCGTTGTTCCGGGGCAGAGGCACAGCAACGTCCAAAAGCGTCCTGTAAATAAAGAAGATTTGAAACATCTGCATTACTAATGAATTCTTGTTCTACCTGGTCGAATTGGGTATGCACCTATTGTTTGGCTATAAAGAAAAATATAAATTTGCAGGTAGGAATGTGTCTTTTCTATTCGTATTGTTTTGTTGTCAGAAGCCTTCTGGGATCCTTGCCACACGATTTATACCCGATACCCACAGGGCTATTATGGCTTGGTCCCAACATATGTAAGCCATAGGGCATCTCCCATAAATACATACATATAGCTATTGTTGATCAGCATCACCAGCTGAGTCGATTTAACTATATCCGCTTCTAAGTCTGTCGGTCTGTGTTAAGCATCAGAAATCGGAGACTAACCCAGTTACCAAATTTGGGACAACATTCTTATTTGTTGCACGTAGATTTCAATTCAAAAAATTCTAATAAATGTATGTGTGTACCTGTGCGTCCGTTTCCGAATTTTCAATACGCTTGCAGGGTATTATAATTTTTGTTAGAAGTTTGCAACGCATAGAATGTGACGTATATGGTCATCAACAGCAGAGATTCATGTCTGCATGTCCATCTGTCAGCTGACTACTCTCACTAGTATATAAGTCGGAACCGGTCGGATCAGACGACTATATCACACTATATCAATGCCAAAGGAACGATCCGATCCAATTAATATAAAAGAATAATAAGTCGGCTATTATTTAACATATTTTCATCTACTCTGCGATATGAGCGCATCGAAATTTAATGATCCAATGGCAAACTTCAAGGGTATTCAAGTTAGCTGTCTTTCTTGTTTGTTTTAAATTGGATAATGAACAGGAAGGCAATAGAATAGAAATTTTGAGATAGGTTCTAAAGGACTCCGGAATCACGCTACGTAATAGCAAAGAGTATAGACCTATAACTCTATACTATAGAACTGTAACTCTACTCTTTGGTAATAGCTTGTGACCGACCTGTAGCATGTTCGACTCCTGTTGCGAAAAATTTAAATTTTTGTAAATTGCCTTTCTTTCTTGTTTGTTAATTCTTTTTTTATTCTTTTGGACTCGTTCTAGTTTCATGGACACGTTAATATTAAAGAAAGCCTAGCTATTGTTATCGTCAACTAATAAATTTAATTCTTTCTGCCATTATTTTATTTTATATTTTACGGCTTATTACAGACAAAAGCTATCTTTAGGCAAGAGAAAAAATGCTAAAAACCAATATTTTTATATATATATATATTTTTTTTTGTTTAGATACCACTTGCTTTGTATCCAAAACTTAATTTAGATAGATTTAATTATAATATAATAATAATAATAATAATAATATAATAATTATTAAATAATCGTAGCCTGCAAATATTGCAAGAAAAAAATATATGTATATAATAAAATATTTTATGAAAAAAAAAACTGTCGCTCCCTGCTATCGGCTTTTTTCTCTGATGCTCTTCAAAACTGGCAGATTTGACGTGAAAAATAAGGAATAGTCAGCTGCTGGCTGTCTGGTTTTGAACAAAGAGAGAATGTTGCCAGCTCTAAAGTGTAGACACTAGAGTCTGAGCCAGAACGAAAAAATCGGCAGGCTTAACTCATTTTGATGTTATATTGGTCTTTTCGAAATTGGCGAATTTAATTTGGCGTACCAGGTTTTTGTTTTCGGGTGACTTACGACTTTAGCTTTCTTACTGGTAGATTGTAAAATACTAGATTCTAAATTTCGATGTTAACTTTAAATACTGACTTATTTATAAAATTATTATTTATTTATAAAATTAGAATTCCGAATCGCTAAGGTATTTTTTCGAAATTTATCTCGAATATTTTTTGCTTAACATTTTAAAAATGTTACATTTTAAATTAATCTAACACGACGACGGAACACTCTACCCTCATCAAGGGCAGCCGCCATTAAAGGAATGCATTGTAGTACAATTTACGTTACCTGCGTTCATGGTGAGGAGAAAGATGCTGATGCTGGTGCGTCAGTCCAAGTCCCAAGCTGCCAATTATGGGTCTCGAGTGACAGTACTGGTGATAATGCAAGTATCTGGAGGAGTCGGTGCCATTCACTGAGTTGCCGTTTACAAATGGCGGTGCAACTCCTGGCCCTTGAATATGGTCATTGGCAAGTAGCGCAGTTCCGTCGGGGTGATGGTGGGGGTCTAGGAAAATGGCTGTGTACTGGGGTGGGTACCCATTTGGGACAGTCGGAGCTGAGGTTGTGTGCACAGAGAGCGCAGTAGAGGTGCGCTTAGCTTTGGCCTCAAGAGTCTTCCGGATCCTCTTGCACTCGGAGTCTGATCGTGAACTGACGCTCGAGTTCAACATCTCAAGTGTCTGAGCTGGCGCAGGCGGCATCTGGGAACACGGCCGTAGTTCGCTGCAAGGGCTGGACTCACAAACGCTACTCTCTGAGATAGTGGGGTTCAAAATAAACTGATCGAACTGACATTCTTCATCGAGTCTTTCGGGTTGGGTATCCAGCTGAGTTTCATGGCCTAGGTTTACATCCTCTTTGCTAAGGGTTCGTCCCACGATACCAGGGCTGTGCGCCTTAGAGATGTCATGCCTGACTCTGCGACTGTGGAGACTGCTGATGTTCTGGGTTGAATTAATCACAACTTCCGGTACAACAAGCGGCAATGCGGAACTCGGAACGGGCACTAGAGACCTCGAGGCAGACCGCTCGTGACCCATGGATCCCAGCACTGTACCGTTTTCAAAGACAACGGGGATGGGTGGGGTTGAGGCCATCATAGGGTGGGTGCGATTTATAAGTGGCGCGTTTCAACGCTGTGATATTTTTGTAACTTTACACAAAATCATAAATTTTCTATTTTGTGCACAAGAAGTTAATTTAGTTACTCGCAGTTATCTGTTTATTCACTTTAAGAACACCGCCATATCGAGTTTTTTTTTTAAATCCGTTTGTCGGACCTTCCGTGTGCTCGCACCACCAAAAACTGATTTGTATTGTGGTCGAGTTCGTAGTGTTTACGGCTTCTTCCACATCTGGTTTTTCAACTTCTCTACTTTCCGACGACGCTGACGTCACGACTCTCTGACCAACCACCACCATCGTAGGCTTCTGCGCTGCCGGCTTGAGGCTGCGGATGCATCTCGCTGGAGATGTGTTAGTGTGCTAGAGAATATAGAAAAGACACCCTCGCACGCTCACCCTCGCTTCACCCTTGACGGAAAAAATCTCGTGTTTCTCTCTTGCTCAGAAATAGCATCTGCGGGGTCAATCATAGGGATGTATGTACAGCTACAGTCAAAGTAATAGCACCATTTATAGAGCATCAGTCATATGAAAGTATTTTTTCCGTTTGTTAAATTAAAATGAAAATATCATACCAGTGGAAAAATCAAATCAAACTTTTTACGAGAATTCGTCGACCATGGTATAGTTTTTAGATTTTGGAATCATTAGATTATGACTATATTAGTAGTGGAGTTTAAAATATAAACGGTAAGGGCGTCTGCCTTTTTGTTTCTTTTTGGTTATTCTAGCTTATTCTAATAATTAGTGCTAAGATGGATTTTGGGCAATTGTTCGTTTTCGAGATAATTACAAACAAGAAAGGAAGCTAACTTTGGCACGCCGAAGTTTGTATACTCTTGCAGATAGTAATTGGCTCATTAAGAGTCTAGCCATTCTGGTTTAATAATTAGAACAAAAAAATAAAAGAAAATATATAAAGGTTGTATATTTATACATATCATAAATAAAATGCTGAAAACACACACAAAACAGAGTTTCATTACATTTTACCTATACTTATTATGTTTACAGTTTGACAGTTACAGCTTTACATTCTACCGATCGCTTCAATGGGAGTTATATGATATAGTTGTTCGATTTTTAAGATGTATATGTTAAGAGTAGATGAAAATGCGTTGAAAAACAACGAATTTATTATTTTTTTTTTTTTCTATTAATTTCCCGATCGTTCCTATGGCAGCTAAAGAATATAGTCGTCCGATTTTAATAAAATTAAAAACGAAACTATAAAATAATTTAAAATGGCCATATCTCAAAAATGATGCAAAAATGTTGAAAAACAAACAAGTTATATTTTTTTTCTAAAAATTTATCGAACACGATAAACAAAAAACTACGTAACATATCGGAGTGAATAAAAAATTATTATGATCAGCATGAAATTATCTTCTATTTGAACCTACATGGTTGTTATAAAACTGAGTATTACTATTTTTAAGAGGGTGGGAAGAGAAAACTGATCACCTGAAAATGGCATTTTTTCCTTAAAATCAAAATTTAATTTTTTTGTCTTGATTTCTTTTTGGTTTTTTAGGTTCAAATAGAAGATACAGGTGTAATGAATACAAAAAAAATTAGTTTACGGATTTTGGACAGGAATTACGAGCTCTATCGTGTCCATAGCACGGCAACTCAAAGCTCGATGCGCTACGGCATATGTTCCATAGGTCCGCCATTTTGTAAAATATTGTTTATAACAACATTTTTTTATCATCTTTGATTCTACTTTTAACTATCTCCAAAGTTTCATGACGATTGCTTGACTATTTCTTATAAAATAAAATTCACGAAAAATTGCCAAATTTTGACCGTTTACATGTATATCCCCCCTTAAGGAATCAAATTAAATAGTACTATGTATAAATAACATTATTGGCGCTCCTTTAAAGTTATTAATTTATTCTTTAATATTTTGTAATTATTTTTACCTGTTTCGTTCCACCAACCGTATGGCAGCCTTGGTGATAACTTTTTGCGGTGAACTTATCGACATCGCCAAAAACGAAAAAAAAAAAAAAAAAAAAATCACGGCAAAAATTTGGATGTAAAATCTGAGGTGGGGTCAGTAAAAAAAATTTTATAAAATAACTACGTGTCAGAATAATCTTGTGGTGGTGTGGAATAAACTTCAATAGACCACTGAGTAACCTATTTTTTTCCTTTTGTAAATTGTATCTTGTTTTTATATAAAAACAAGAAAGGAAGCTAACTTCGGCACGCCGAAGTTTGTATACCCTTGCAGATTGGTTTATATTATAGATTTAAATGCTGAAAACACTCACAAAACAGTTTCATTACAGTTTACCTATACTTATTATGTTTAAAGTTTGGCAGTTACAGTTTGACATTCCCAGCTTTACATTTGTTCTACATTTACCGATCGCTTCTATGGCAGCTATATGATATAGTTGTCCGATTTTCATAATATGTATACCAAAATTGTGAAATAATAACAAAAGCTCATATCTCAGAGTAGAAGTTAGTTATTTTATAATTTATTCCTATTAATTTTCCGAACGTTCCTATGGCAGCTATAAGATATAGTCGCTCAATTGTATAAATATAAACCAAAATTCTGAAATGATAAGAAATGGCCATTTATCCAAAATGATAAAAATATGTTGAAAAACAGCAAAGTGATTTTTTTCTTCAAATTTGTACAGCATTTGTATGGCATGATATAGTCGTCCGATCGGGCCCGTTTCGACATATATAGCAGTGAGAGTATATAGAAGACTATATGCAAAGTTTCGTTCAAATAGCGTTAAAACTGAGGGACTAGTTTGCGTAGAAACGGACAGACGGACGGACAGACGGACATGGCTAGATCGACTCGGCTGTTGATGCTGATCAAGAATATATATACTTTATAGGGTCGGAAACGTCTCCTTCACTGCGTTGCAAACTTCTGACTGAAATTATAATACCCTGCAAGGGTATAAAAATTATAACTTCGTTGTTTTTCAACGTATTTTCATCTACTCTGAGATATGAGCTTTACTTATTATTATAGAATTTTGGTATACATTTTATGAAAGTCGGACAACTATATCATATAGCAGCCATAGAAGCGATCCGCAGATGTAGAGAAAATGTAAAGCTGGGAATGTATAACTGTAACTGTCAAACTGTAAACATAATAAGTATAGGTAAAATGGTATGTAACTCAGTTTAGTGTCTGTTTTCGGCATTATAATTTATGACATAAATATGAAAACCCATCTGCAAGGGTATACAAACTTCGGCGTGCCGAAGTTAGCTTTCTTTCTTGTTTACTTTGAATACGTACAAATGTCGCATTCGACAGAATAAAAATTCCCATATATCTTTTGTTATAAATTAATTGCAAACTTCAAAAGTATACAATGTTAGGCGTCCCGAAGTTAGCTTCCTTTCTTGTTTTAACATCGAACGACTGCAACAGCTGTTGCAAGCACTAGCATCGATTGCTAACTTTCTTGGACTTCAGTGAATAGCTAAAAAGCGGTGTTTTAGCATTGCCCGTCTAGTGGAGACAGCAGAGGGTCAATTTCCTGGCTGCTATATGATATAGTAGTCCGATTTGGCTTCGGCATAGTAACGCAAAGAGGGACATGGCTAGATCGGCTCGGCTGTTGATGGTAATGAAGAAAGAGGCAAAATATACATACATATAGATTTACATACATGATTTATGGGTTCAAAGGGTTCCATTAAACTACAGGTACAAATGTATATACGGATTACCGAATAAGATATTAAATTAAATTACATTGGTACATACATTTGTAAAGTAATTCTTTGTAAAAAGAAAAATGTTCAAAGAGATTCTTTTTGTTAAAAAACAAGAATAAATACAATTTTATTTATTTGTTTTAAAAAAGATTACGGTTATGCTAATATTATAAAACAACACTTACCTTTGAAATTTCTTGCTTTTGAAATTTAAAACTTCTGTTTTTGGTTTTGTAAAGACTTGACAAACTGTTCATTTATGTTTATCCCCTTATCAAAATTTGTTTAATATAAAATATATGTGAAGAAACATGTAATACAAATATAAGAACTTAGTGAGATTGCATCTGTACCGTTTATAAAAAATATCAAATATGTTCATGCAGGTGCTTACAGACCAAAAGGAGTATATTTTAGATTCGTTACTTTTACAGAAATAAATATAAAAAAGTTAATGACATTTTTTTTTATAATTGTTTACTTAAATAGTGTTACATATGTAAGAATAAATGTCTTTTATAATCATAATTTTATAAACAATTTCAGATACTTGAGTGCACAGCAAATTGCTTAACGAGCAAAATCTCACGCAGATAAGGCAAACTTTATAAACAATTTTCGGCGTGTCGCTTTGGGTGGTACGAAAAAATGCGCCTACCATGGCGGGGCCATCAAAAATGACTCCAAGACCGCAAACTCGTTTGGTTAATTTGTGACACCTTGTGACACGATGTAGGTATGTTGTTATGCTGCTAGAAAAACAAGCTCCAGTATGTGCATTTTAGTCGGGACTAGTTAAGGATTAATTCAACTAGGAATTTCTAAGCATATGTTTTGTTATGTATTGTTATGTATGAGTGTACGAGTATGTCTCTGGTTTTAGCTTGTGAGTGAATGTTAATTTCAGATATGTGTATACGTAGAGAGCATAGTAAGTCTTGCTTCTCGCGGTAAACACTATTTAGCTGCTGTTTCTATCACCAGAGTTGATAGAACTCTCGCCAATTATCTGCGTATGCTCGGGAGTGCTATCAAATACAGTATGATTTGTTTTGTTTGTCGCAGCCATAGCTTCACGCCGCTGTCGTTTCATCTCCAGCAACTGCTTTCTTTGGGCATCTCTTTTTAATGCTGCAGCCGAATTTTTCGAAGCCGACAATCCAGGTAAACTCGCCTTGGTGTTTGATTTTGATTTCAGAGCTCCAGATCTTATCTGTGGAGCCTTATTGGGTAATGTGTTCGATGCTGCCGGCTCAACTGTGCGCTGGTAAAGTCGGAATTGGAAACATTACGGGTCAGGCAGCTAATGAATAACTAACTTACCTTCCAATTGTTAGCTTTGAGCTGCTCAATGTCTGCAAAAATTGAATCCAAATGCTCCACTTGCAAATAAACCATGTCCCAAAACCCTTGTAGGTCGTCAGCGGTTGTTGGGAACTCGTCCTCCGGCGACCGATTTACATTATTGTGGCATAAACCTGAAAATATTAAATGGTTTAATAAGTTGCATTGCGTTTTTGCGAAACCTTAGAATGTTACCCTCAAACTGCTTCATTTTTTGCGATACCAACAGCCTGGCTTTTCCCGAGGCTGATCGAAGCAATCCAAAAGTATCTTCTGTGATGTCAGGATTGTTCTACGGATTGTAACGAATAAAACTAGCTGGCGAACATAAACGCTATATTATTTACTCACAGCCAAGGCGTCTGTGTATTTCTCAGCAATGGCGGCCAGCGCCAACAGACGAATTTGTTCGTCTTTGAGTATTTTAAGAAAATAGTTCCCATCCTTTACAGCATCCACAACTTCGCTTTTAAGGTTAACCTCCTCCGTCTCCAGTTGGACCTGTTTCAAGGGCTGGTGGTCAACTTCATCAATTTGGCCTACTTCTTGCTTCAGTTTATTATCTTTCGTGTGGTGCATCTCAGGAGCAGGTGAGAAACGAGGGGTGGCACCCCTCTTTGGTGAAACCTTGGGCAACTGGGCTCGAAACTCGTGACTGAGATGCCGGAATACGGGTAAGTCCAACTCTCCGTTCCCCTCTGAAGACAAAGATGGAGGATCATCCAACCGCTGCGTTGCGGCTTGTGAGCAATTGTTCAGTTTCTTTCGGAACTCCCCGTAATCCTTGCTGGGCGAAAGTTGCTTGAATTTAAGCTCCAGCTCCGAGCTCTGCCTGGCCGAGGTCCGAGCTGCTGATGGAGATTGTCCGTGCTTCTTGGGACTGTAAAAGCCCTGGGCTAGGGCACCTGGACCATAAAGACGCTCCACTCGCTCTTGAATAAAGCTGCTGGTGCCTCCGTCCTTTCCATTGCTATTAATAGGGTCAGTATCCGGTCCGTTTCTTTGATTGTGGCCGTTGCTGTCGCCATTGACCTCGAACGGGTACTTGCTGATCGACGACGGCTGTTTTATATACGGCATACTATGCAAAATCGGGGCAGCCAAAGAGTTGTTCCGCTTGCAGTACTGCAGGCCGCTGGAGGACGGACGGATTGGAGAGACCTCGCGCGACTTGTTGATATCTTGACGTATTTTGGAGTCGTATGTTGTCAAGTTCGAATATCCGTTGACGCAGCAAGCCAGATTTAAATAGCTGGGCTTTTTCTCGGCAGCATCGATACTGACAGCAGCGGATCCAGGGGCGTTTTCGGGGCATGTATCGATGCCAGCGGTACTTGATGCATGGACGGACTCCACGGCCGCAGGCGACAGCACCATGTGCACCAGGCCCGTACCGGGATCTAAGTAAGCGGTGGTGGTTTGTGGTGGCGAACGCAGAGTACAGCGCTCCCGGAGGTTTGCGGTGAACTCGCGGGTGATGTCCTTCACAGAAAGCGGCGTGGGAAAGTTCAGGCTGCCACTGGTATCTGGAAACGTAAAATTTAGGTCAGAGAAACGTTTGTGGGGGGCTATACCGAAATAACATTAGAAACAAACAAACGATAACAAAACCAATACGTGCGCAGGGTGACTCCAACAAAAAACAGTAAATTGTCAGATTGAGCCAAAGCTTCATCAGCTCAAATACCTGATATGTCGGAAGAGTCTGCGTCTACATCAAGTGAACAGCTGCCAATCGAATCCTGGCTGCGATCCATTAGAACTTTGTCTGTGGAATGGAATTGATTCTGTTTCATATGTTCAGCGGTATTTTAGCTATACACAAGTCTAAACCAAGTGGGAAAATAAAAACAGATTGTTGGTTTCCGGAAGGCATGACTCAGCAAAGCCACCGATCTAGCGCCTACATATGTACATATGTACGTACATACATATGTATTGCTTTTCAGCGGAGCATGCAAAGTGCACGAAATGATGATAGAGCTCTTGGCGTGGGATATGCTAGAGACGGTGGCTAATTTTCGCCATTAATGCAAAGCAGAACACCGATCTGTTTGGTACTGATTGGATTTGCTTGCCAAAACAGATGTGATCTGAAATACCGGAAAATACACACATCAGAAAAGCAATAGTAGTGCTAAGCTGATCCTGGTGTGACGCCACCGAGAGTCGCAGCTCGCAAGATGGGAGCAGCTCTAACGGCATTGTCATCAGTATTGCCAGTTCCGCTTTGCTGGCGCTTTACCGTTTTTTCGCAATGTGTCTTCTTTCTCCAGAGACAGCACAAACACAGCCGCATTCTCCGAAGTATGGAGGTGTGCACATACGTACATATGTACATATGTAAATGCAGATACAAGTATATAACAGTTGGATAGCACGGCTTGGACCGGATAATAAATTGGCACCAAAAACCCACTCGTGCAGTGTCCAAGTACACGTTGTGCCGTATATGCACACACAACTATTTATATTGCGGCGGTTTCGCAGACTACCGAGGCAGTCCAAGAGGAAAGCAGAAATATAAATGAACTGGATGGAGCCGCACACGCATTTCAATTCTATTTTGGGCGCTTAAACACAGCAATGACCTTACGCAGCCAACGCAGAGATGGTTCCTGGTGCAGCAGCGGCCAATTCGAGTCCTTCAGCTGGATTTAGATTGCAACCAATACAAAATACAAAAAATCTCTTTGGTAGACAGTCAGCGATGAGAATCAGTGATGCCAACCAGTGATGTCATTTTTTCCGAAAAAAAGCTGAATAACCCAAAAAAAAACAACAGCTAAAAAGAGCCAAATTCCAAGGGGAAAAATCTAAGAAAAAATATGATTTTTAGAAGGTTATTTTTTGTTTATTTATTTATTTTTTTTATTTGATACATAAAAAATTAAATCAAAGCAGTTATACTGCATTTACAATGACTGAACAGCTATCTGGCCAATACGAGGGATCGAAAATACGAATTATAAGTAAAATCAAAGTTTTTAAAAATTTAAAAATAACTTCAATTTGGAAAATAAAAGTTAACGAATAAAGTAGTATTAAATTGCAAAACCTTATTAACTGAACGGCTTATTTAAAAGATTGACATATATAATTAATCTACTTTATAATACTTATCAACTGATGTACATACATATGAAGTGCTTCTTCGAATTCGCATTTGCGAATATTATGCATATTTCATATACAGTGAGTCACAAAAGTATTCGTTGCAAAGGAGGTCTTGAGGAAAATGTCAATTTTCACTAGCTAAAAGCTTCAAAATGTGAAAAAATGGATTACTATCCCAAAGATGTATATTTTGTTTAGTATATGACAAAAAAAAACTTAAAGAAAACCTTTTCAATAACAAGCTACAGACAAATATATAAAACTAAATCGATTTTTATGCTCACAAAAGTATTCGTTTCTGAGATTTTTTTTATATTTTTTTTCCTTTTTTCATGGGTTAGTGCAATTTTTTTCAGTATTCTGGTTGGGAATTCATTTTAAAATTTAATTCATGGAAAAACACAATATTTAAGCGTCATTGTGGGTCGTAATCAATTACAAAATGGCGAATAGTACGGAGTCAAAACATTTTCCAGAAGAAAATTACTTTACACCTACACAATGAGGGTTGATCCTTTAAATATATTTCTGGTATGTTTGATAATAGTCCTCTTACCATAATAAGCGTGGTTTTTCTTCTGAAATCAAGAAATTTCCTGGAAAATAAGCCGCGTTTTGGCCGAATAGAGTAATTGAAAATCAGAGAAGATAGAACAATTCTTTAAAAAAATCAGGAAAGGCATACATTTATAGGCTGCAAAAATTAACACCGCCATGACCACATCCTAAGGAACAAATGTATCCACTTAAACTATTGGAACAGTTCCTAGAAGCCATGATGAGGATGGTAGAAGCCCTAAAATAAAATCCTTGTTTTCACCTATCAATATGCCGAAGCTATTTTCTTTGATATAGCGTTTTGGAACCAAATTTTAGAGTATTCAGGGCAAGTAATATTAAGTAAAAAAGGTTTTCAATGTTTAGGGATCGGATTAAGAAGGGATAGTTTGCCGCAAGCCCGGTAAAGCCCTCAAGTTTAAAAATGATACAGCAACAGCAGAGCTTGCAAAAAACTGTCGACCGTTTCTAGTTGTCTGCATATATCTGTCTCTCTCTCACTCTTTACGAAAAGACTCAGAGAGCACCCGTTCATGAGTTCTTGGAATCAGCTCGCGCGCGTTCAGAGCGAACTCGTTTTTTTCTATTCTGTTTTGTTTTGGTTGTCCCATGAACCGTGGTCAGTGAACAAAAGTCTTTTGCGTATGTATTGGAATACATTCACACGCATAGGCAAGCAAATCCTTAAACGTTTAGTTGCGATTTAAAAACAAAATTGTCTAAAACTTTTCTATTCTTTTTAATAGCATTTTGTTATATGGACACTTGTTCACAAAAATAAATAAATAAAAAAAAAAAACAAACAAAGGTGAAGACCGTTCGCGCTGAGCTGTTCGGTCCCTTGGTCTTTTGCTGGCTCTCTGTGTGCGAACGTTTCTCGTCCCGCTCTTTACGCACGGCTCATTGAAAGGCCGAAGCAAAAAGAGCTCAACGAAAAGCGTTCAACAAAAAACCGAAATGAAGACAGCAAAACTCCCTTGCTCTGAACGAGAGCGAGAGAGTATGATCTTTTTCGGTTTTACTCGCAACGAGAGCACAGGAAAAACCCCGTCAACAGTTATTTGCAAGCTCTGAGCAACAGTAAAGCACGTCAGAGTTTCTGTTCTAGTTTAGGGTGTCTGTCTGCCCCAGGAGTTGGAAATATGTTTTTTTTTAGACAGGATAATAATTGCTGATATATATTTAAATATATTAAGGTGTATTTTACACTCTAGTGGCACCCTAATGTGTTCAGAACCCGACAAGTTCAATTTCCACCAGTACAATAGCGCCGAACAAACGACTTTTAAAGTCCAGATGTGGGTGTTGTACTATTGAAACCAGACTAAAACTCCTTCACAGAGCCCAGACGTTAGCCCTACTGAAAATCTATGACACCATCTTAAGCTAAAATTCCAGGAACAGCGGATTTCTGCCGAAAAAGGAACTTAATGATATAATGCGGAAGAAATGGTCGAATATATCCTGAAAGAGGTGCCCAAAATGGGTAGAGCCAATGCAAGGACGATTTTAAGCTATTAAATAAAACAAAGGATTGCACATAAGATATAACACAATAAAAAAATAATAAATATTTAATGGCGAAACAAAAAAACGAATACTTTTGTGACATGAAATTTTGTAGTTCAAATGAATTTCTTAGAAAAAAACAGCAATGAAGCTAGTTTTTTAACAACTTTTTGTTGTTTTCCTATTGTTTAATATCTGAGTAACATAAAAAAAAAACTAAAGTGATCAATTTGATACTTAATCATTAAAAAAATAACATAATTATTCGTCGGGAACCTTGCAACGAATACTTTTGTGACTCACTGTACATATGTTTCATATATTTTTCATATTTTATGCAAATGCATTTTATGCAAATTCCGAAGTCATAGCGATAAGTTAATAATTAAGCGAATTTAGTTAATAGGCCGCTCAGTTTAACAGTTATGGCAATACAAATTTTATTTTTAAATTTCAAAATAAAAGTTATTTGTAAATGTTTACTTAACTTATTTGCGATCTCTGGTCAATTCAGTGGGGTCCTTTTTAATCCAATCCTTAAATTCTGTACTTTGAAGCAAGTCATCTCGGACCTTTTGTTTGTAAGTCTCTTTTGCCATAGTTAATTTATGTTTTTCCTCGAATTCACAACCGCACTTCACAATTTAATACAAGCAATGGAAGTAATGTTGCAAATTTAGCTATTTCCCACTAGATCTGGCGTGTTTCAAAACCCAAGTGCGGGATATTTTGTGAACTTGCGGTCAGCGGAAATTATAGCTATTTTCCAAGCAAAATTGGCGTAATTTTAGCTTTTTGAAAACATCTGCCATCTTCATGTATTTTTATGTTTTACGATGCCACACTTAAATACTTTGTAGTATTTTTCCATTTGAATGGCAAAAAACATCGATATGCCAAAAGAGCATTAAATTGATGCTTATCGATTTTTACTATGAAATCGATTGAATTGAGTATAATACTGTCTTCCCACACAGCGCATTTGTGATACTGGCATGACACTGCCGCATTAATTAGAGACTTCATTAAAGATTTGACAGCGCTATAGCGTTTTACACAAGTGCGAGCAAGACGACTATATGGCGCTCTAATGCATTAGAATAATGCATTAGCTACTTCATTGCCGCGATAATCGATAGATCTACATATTATATACTAGATATTCGATAACAAAATACGGGTTTAATGAAGAAAATTGTAATTGAAAAATGTATTAGCCAGTTCATTGACAGTATGGTCTCACAATGAGAATTTTATTTTTATATCATTTCGCTTGTTTTTTGAACTGAAAATATATTAGAAAATTAGCAAAAATAATATGTTTTGCGGTAGCAAGGTTCTTGCGCTGTAAAATTAATTAAAAATTTTTTTTTTGTAATAATTAAAAAAATTTTAACCATTATAGGTTAAAAACATAAATTTAAAGGATTCTGCATTTATTTATGCAAGAATACTTCGACGAGGAATTTAGAAATTCATAGTAATACGCCGCGAATGGCGGCCGTTTTTTTTGTTTACCTTTTACGGTCGGTGTGACCGTAGTCGTATTACCAAAATAATCCAAGCAAAATCGAAGCCAAATTACACAAAATTACACATATAGTGGTCTCTTTCAAGGTTCTAATGAAGTAGCTAATTAATGAAAACTGCATTAGTGTATCATATGGGCATGAGGAACGTTTGGGATTTTTCACAAATGTGAAACTCGTGTTCCCACACAACATTAAAGAGCATTTAGCATCCGAACAGCTGATCGATCAGCTGTGGCTCATGAAAACGTAAACAAAGGCTGTCGAATTGGCAGTTGCAAATTTGAAATGGAGCACTTACCAACTATTTTGGCTGTTGTACAACAGCAAAATGCACAGATTGCGTCAGAATTTATCCGCACTAAATTTAAATGAATTAAATGACAAGGAATTTTAGTTTTTCTAATGATTTTTCTCTAACAAAGAGCAAATTCCCCGAAGAGTGTCTATAGGTGGTATAGGCATCCAAAATCTTTAAAATTAGGTAGAGGTAGGCGGTTTATATTAAATAGTAACAATTGGGGACATATTGGGGCAAGAATATACAGAAAAAACGCCAAGAACTATTTTGGGCATGCTTGTAGCTTTGGCGCCACGTTTTAAATTCCATATCTCATTTGTTCCTCGCCAATTTGTTTACATTTTCGTGGTGAATGGTCAAATTTTCAGAGTTGCACCGAAGAACTATCGCCTAACTATCGCCAAACAAACCGTGGTTAGATTTTAATGCTGAACTAACGCCGGGCCATTTGGGAAAATTCGGAACGGCAAAACCTTATGGAGCATTTGTTCAACGGATGCTAAATGCGCTTTAATGCTGTGTGGGAAG